AAAAAAAAAAAAAATGACCAGGGGAAGCGCACACAAGTCTCTAAGCAAAGAAGTGGTGGGGCCTCATTTGCAGGGCGTTACTCCAGTAGCCTGGCCCCTGCCTCTGTGGCCCCCCAGGCCTTCTCTCGGCTGTGGTCCTCCAACTGCCTCCAGGCTCAGCTCTAACCCACATCCGAGAACCAACCCTGACCTTAAGCAGGAGGCTCTAAGGGCGCCGTGGCCACAGGCTCTGGCCTAAGTTAACCTCGCCAGTCGCTTCTTGCCGACCATCTGCCCAGGTGGCCTTCCTCACATTTACGAGATGATCGCGCTCCTATTGTATGGGGAAAAGAGGTGAGAACTCTTCTGAACCCTCCGCTCCCACCAGCGACAGCACCTCCACTTCCTCTGACCAGCCAGACGCTGTAATCACACAGACGTCCCACTTGGGCCCAAGGCTGAGTCCTCCTCCTTGGGACGCATTCCTTCCCTTTGCCCTAGTGACCTCACTCTGTCCCTCAACCCCTTTCTCTCGCACAGCCGAGTCCTACTCTCCACCAACCCTCTCTCTTCGCCGTGTACCAACGGGCTTAAGTCCCCCATGCCTCTGGGGGGAAGCTCTCTCAACTTGGCAACCTCTAAACCACTTCCCTATCTCATTCTTACCCTTCACCATCAAGTTTCTTGACAGAGCTGTTTACACTCACGGCCTCCACTTCCTCATCTCCTACTCTGGCACCTACGTGAGACTGGCTGCTCTTCCCACCACCAGACATCACCTTGCCCTCGCCAAGGCCACCGATGCCCTCCTGATCGTGAAATCAGACGTTTTGGTGGCGAGGCCGCCAAGCTGATGCCACTGACTACTCCCTCCCTCTGGACTCTTGCCTTGGGGTCCCCCTCCTGCTTCTCTGCTTTGTTCTGCAGGTTTCTCTCTCGACCCCCTGCAGAGCGGCTCCCTTTGCTCAACTTGCAAGGTGCTCCCAGGACTTGGCTGCTTTTCCTCGCTCCCAAACTCCCCACCCCATCGCATCCATGTCTGCGGCTTCAACTACAAATGTTGACGCCCCCCCCCTCGCCCCCATCTGTCTTTGTGGCCCAAACTTGCCGCCTGTGCTCCCTGGTTCTGACTGACGACTCCCCGGCTCGACCTGTTAGCACCTCAAGGGACGGCCTCCCAGAGGAGGAAGTCTTGACCTTGAATCTCTCCCTTTCCCTCCGTGCCCAGCACTGTGGCCTGAGTTGTGTTTCTTGGGCCATCGCCCTAGCTCCCTGTCTAGTGACTGTCTGCTCTCTTATGCCATTGCTAGAGTCACCTTCCTGGTCATAATATGCCTACCTTACAAAACGCTACCGTCTCCTCAAGCAAAAAAAGTTGAAACTCTCCCAGCACGATGTACAAAGCCCTTCCTGATCTTCCCCTTCCGGCCTTGCTGTTCATGATGACATGCTGCCTCCCTCCTCCGGTCCGGAGGCTGGACCCTCGGATGTCTACAAGGGGAGGAGAGCAGGTGGCTGGTCCAGTTACCTGTTGCAGGGTAAACTAGTCCCAAACTACAACCACTTCTTTATCTCTCTTTATTCTAAGGTTTTGAGAGGGAGTGTGCCAAGAAAGAGCCCTCCAAGATGGTAAGCCCATGATTGACACGGGGTCCTTCTACTACATTCTACTGGGTGAGCAGTCACACGACCAGTCCAGATTCCAGGGGAGAGGAAATTAATTCCTCCTTTTGGTTCTTTTTTTTTAAATTTTAATCTTTTTTTAATGTTTATTTATTTTTGAGAGACAGAGCGTGAGCAGGGGAGGGGCAGAGAGAGAGGGAGACACAGAATCTGAAGCAGGCTCCAGGCTCCAAGCTATCAGCACAGAGCCCAACGCAGGGCTCAAACTCATGAACTGTGAGATACGACCTGAGCTGAAGTCAGATCCTCAACTGACTGAGCCACCCAGGCATCCCTAACTCATTTTGATGCGGAGAGTGACAAAGAGCTTGCAGTCATCCTTAATCGGATGCAGAGGACTGGGCAGGTAAGATGAATAGTTGATAAGGGCCAGGTGAATTACGATAGGGAATGGAGGGGGTGTGGCTGCACTTGACCTTTCTACCACAAGGGAATTCAGACGCTGAGCTAAACTTCTGGTCTTCCTTCCTTCCTTCCTTATTTATTTATGTATTTATTTATTTAGAGTAAGAAAGATAGAGCGCAAGTGGGGGAGGTGCGGAGAGAGGGAGACACAGAATCTGAAGCAGGCTCTGAGCTGTCATCATAGACCCTGATGCAGGACTCGAACCCATGAGCTGTGAGATCATGACCTGAGCTGAACTTGGATGCTTAACTGAGCTGAACTTGGATGCTGAAGTTAACTGCTTAACTTAACTGGGCACCACCCAGATGCCCCAAATGTTTATTTTTGAGAGGGGGAGAGGGGCAGAGAGAGAGGGAGACACAGAATCTGAGCCGTCAGCACAGAGCCAGATGCTGGGCTCGAACCCATGAACCGTGAGATCACGACCTGAGCTGAAGTCCGATGCTTACCCGACTGAGCCACCCAAGTGCCCATAAACCTTCTGGTTTTTCAAGACAAGTTAGATTTATGTATTTTTATAGGAAAGCTCCAGATCTTTCAATGTTGGCAACTAATTCAAAAATTTCTAAAAATATTATATGAACAAAACTAAATGTGTCTTTAGTTTGAATGTGGTTTTTCTGGGCAACAATTTTTTTGGACTCTCTTCTTTGCCCTTGGCATAGGCCTGAAATCTCTTATTCCATGTTTCCTACCAAACTCTTATGTGCCTTACTTATCCTTTAAGACTCAGGTTAGGGGAACCTGGGTGGCTCAGTCGGTTAAGCCTCTGACTGCAGCCCAGGTCACGATCTCACAGTTCATGAGTTTGAGCCCCGTGTCGGGCCCTGTGCTGAAAGCTGGGAGCCTGGAGCCTGCTTCGGATTCTGCGTCTCCCTCTCTCTCTGCCCCGCCCTGACTCGCGATCTGTCTCCCCTCTCTCTCTCTCAAAAATAAACATTAAAAAAATTGTTTTTAGGGGCTCCTGGGTGGCGCAGTCGGTTAAGTGTCCGACTTCAGCCAGGTCACGATCTCGCGGTCCGTGGGTTCGAGCCCCACGTCGGGCTCTGGGCTGATGGCTCAGAGCCTGGAGCCTGTTTCCGATTCTGTGTCTCCCTCTCTCTCTGCCCCTCCCCCATTCATGCTCTGTCTCTCTCTGTCCCAAAAATAAATAAACGTTGAAAAAAAATTTTTTTTAATTGTTTTTAAATAAAAAATAAAAGAGACTCAGGTCAAAATTCCCTTGTCTGTGAAGCCTTCCCTAACAACACACAGCCCCTCCCAGAGTGATTTCTTCCCCCACCCCATGCTATTGACCCCTGGTGCATTCCTCTATCATGGCAATTTGTATATTGCATAATAATTGTTTACAGGTCTGACTCTTCCACCAGATTGTTTTATTTCCCCAGCACAGGGCCCAACATGCAGCTGGCATTCAATAAAATCCTCCTTCCTTTCCCAATACTGCTAATCAACCACCAACTCACGCACACTCTACCTTCACCCATTTGATTTCCTGCTCGGTCCATCCTCCATCCGATTGCCATTACCCCAGTTCAACCCCTCCTCGCTTCTGCCCAGAATGATTCCAAGAGCCTGCTAGCAAATCTCAATTCCAGTCTCCTCCATTGCCCCCGATCCCTGTCCCTTAACCAGGCTCCTAATGCACAGATCTGACATGTCAACCCCATTTCAAGATTCCTCCTTTATTCTTCAGAATAGAATCCACTCCATGGGGTGGGTTGGTGGATCTTAGGTTTTGTGCCTGTCCATTATGGCTGGTCCAGTAGACCCAATCAATGTCAGCCTTGGGTCTTTTTCTGGAGCCATTTCTGTCACTATGAGTGGAAAGCCTTCCTGAGAATGAGGCCAACAAAGGAAAACCAAGTGGGAGTGAAGGGTGAGGAAAGAAAAAGATACAGGTTGATTCAATGACCGTGTTGAGCCCCTCAATCTAATTGTGCCTGAAGCTGGGTACATTCCAGGCTCTTCTGTTCTCAGAGTCAAGTGAGATAGACAGCCTGCTAGCTAGGCTCAGGGGCCTGGTTTGACTGATCTGAAAAGCAGAAGTGATATGTACATAAAACAAAGGACATTCAGCAAAGAAGACTCCTGCTTGGTTTATTTCCACCTTGCTGCATTTTCCAAGAACCAGACCCACCACGAATCAACTTCCATTTTGGAATTGACAAACCAAATTCACCGCACATGAGCTCTAGAGAAGGATTTTATCCCAAAGCTTTGTCAGCCCCAGGGAGGATCTCTCCAAGTGATACAGATTCCTCCTGTAGCCTCCCTTAGGGGCTCTGCGATGGAATCTTGGGACACCAACACCGGAAGGGATCTTTGCCCAGCTCCCTCTTTTTATGGGTGACGAAACCAAGACCCAGAGACCAGTTGGACAGAGTCTGAACAAAATTTTTCCCAAAGTAAAATCAGAGCGGAAGAAAGAATAGTCCTTGGCAGGCAAAAACACAGACTAAACTGCATGATTTAGGTGGCTATTGTCAATGAATCATCTACGTTTCTGATGCTATAGGAGTCTCATGGTACATAAATATTAGGGTAAAGAGATTTTGAGTGGTATTTACAAAAGTTGCTCTTATGTTGTTATCAGAGTTGCAGAAAAGCATGTGTGCCTTTTTTTCATTGCTAGAAGGCTATATTGCTATATATATATATA